ACAGAATAAGGCATAAGTAGTTGCCACTTGCCAACAAATTCAGTCTTATAATGAAGAACATGCAGAACTGCAGATAAATTACTTCACTACCATCAACTACCACTGCAAAGTTTCTCCAATAGTGTTTGAGGGAATACATATTTACTTACTTTTATTCTACAAATGAAAAATAAGTGTCTCTGTAAAGGAATAAGGTGTATACTTACAACGAGCTCATTCATATCGCTAGAAGCCTTAAGCCTGGCACTTTCTTCAAGAGATCGTCCAAGAAGCACAAATCCGAGAAGCATGACCTGCATGCTACAAGAAAAGTTTCTTCAACATTATTATGCAAAACATATTCAACTGTTAATTCATCAATCACCAAATCAGTTCAAGTAATGCGGTAGGAAGTAATTAGGTTTATATTTGAACAATTCAACAACACAACGGGATGCCATATTAACAATACACCACAACATAGACAAAAGGCAGACAACATTGACAAACGACAGGAGTGTCAACAAGAAGATGAAACGTGCGTGCATGGAAGATCACTCACCGGTTCATCAAAAAAGGTTGAATTCCATTCCAGTTCAGGGTTCAGCAAGGACACCTGCATAAAAGAAAAGCTGCATCAGTATTCTTGTATGACTGACAGACGATTTGGGCACTGCAAATGCACTTACTGAACTGATAGCAAATGCCGCTGCAGATCCAAACCCTACAAGAGAGTTCATGTTGGGGGATCCTTGCTTGAATGCTCGAAGACCATCAAAAAGTATATCTGGTGTTACATTGAACACATTTTGAGAAAAGGATAAAAAGCCTGAAGATACACATTGCACGGTCATGCTGAAAATGTTCCAGAGTAATGTACAACACATCTAGTTCTTCATATCATCTGCCATTCTGTTGTTTCTTAGGAGGCTTTAAGAATATGTCTCCTTTACTACCCACCCAGGCACCCACCAACCCAAACAAAAGCCCGTGAATCGAAGTGATGAAGTATTTTTCAGGGCAAACAATAAGGAAATCCTTGTTGTGTACATACATTAGAAATATATAAAAAAACAAAGGAGTGTTTACCAGAGAAGGAATGTGCAATCTCCCCCATCAAGTAAGGCTACCAAATTTTATCTAGCCATGACTGCCATCTCAGAGAATTCAATGATCATATCAAGGATGACTACATGTAATGGTATGAGTTTTCAGCATCTCGTGTCAGACAACCTAGTGACCTGCTTGCTGCTATTGAGTTGTCTATTTTTCATTGTTTAGAGAATTATATTGTTCTTAGGAACTAAGTTAATTTGGTCAAGTTATTGCTAGTCCCTATCTGGTTTGATACCCAAAAAACTGTGTAGAAGCCTATACAAAAAAAAAACAGTACATTACTATACTATACCTCTTCCAGGCCCAAACAATGCCGCTATTGCAATGCCACATTTCACATACGAATTATGCAACAGATCCAAAAACGTTCCTGCACCATGCATAAACCGATCAGATAGTGATCCTAGTGGAAAAACAGTTCAATATAGCATGTGCATCAGTGGCCAATTTAGACTTTCACTAAACTTCATTCATGTCCATTCATCTATTGCACAAACGCCACACAACCTGTGATCACGCTCCCGTGGTTTGAACTCACCATGGCCGACGTGGATGCCGAGCGAGTGTAGGAAATGGGTTGCGTGCGAGCCGCAGCAGAGCGCAACGAGCGTCCACGCGAAGGCGACGCGCCCACGGCTCCGCGTGAGGAGCTCCGCCTTCCTGGCCGCCATCTCCCTCCACTTCCGAGCGCTGTCGCTAGCCCCCGAGGCCGCGCCCCCTCGCCGCGCCACCGAGGGGAACCCGCACTCCGTCAGCCTCGCCGCCAGCTCCTTCCCGGCGGCCGGCTCCGGCGACCTCAGCCGCACGGCCGCCGACTCCGCGAGGAGGTTGACCGCCGCGGTCTCCACCCGCTCGTCCGCGGCCAGGATGGTCCGCACCCGCGCCGCGCAGCCACCGCACATCATGCCGCTCACGTCGAGCAGCACGGTGGCAGCATCACTGGCCCCCTCTCCTTCTCCCGCCGCCGCGGCCGCGTCGACCGCGCTCGAGGCCGAGGCGGAGGGATCGGCCGTGGAGCGGGGGGTGGCCACCGCTGGGCCGCGGGGGAGGACGACGAGGCAGAATCGCTGCGCAGTCGAGGCCTTACCACAACCGCCACCTCGACCCAACCGGAGACGCCGGAGCAACAGGGGGTTAACGCCGCGAACCGGAGCGGTGACATGGAGGGGGGAACGGCTAGCGGTGGCGGCCATGGAGGCGGTCGCCCGCGAGCGCGGTGGGGAAGCAGCTAGCGGAGAAGGATTAAGCTTAGGTGCGGAGGAGGGAGGAGGCGGCCATGGAACGCGCCGGACGAGGAGTGGTGGGTGGTGGACTGGTGGTGGTGGGAAATGCAGTGCAGGGGAGGAGAGGGGAAAATGTGGTGGTGGTGGAGGAGGAAAACGGGGGAGATGGCGACGTGTGCGAGGGATGAGGAGGAAAACGGGAGTAATCTTTGCGAGTCGGATGGATTTGGATAGCAATCTGTCGAGACGTTTGGAGGTTTTCGTGGTTGAAAACGTGGTGGGCGTGACGCACGATGCAGATCCACAAAGTTTCAAACTCCCATGTGGCTTTGCACCGTATCGCTCGCAATGTGCCGGTGAAACTCCCGTTTATTTTGATGTAAAAGTAAGTTTGCGGCTTACCCAAGTACCGGTGTGTCCGTGCGTAGGAGCATCGTGCGTCGGTGCGTGTCATGTTGCTCGATCGCGATAAGCAACGGAAGCTGCATTCTCGGGGTAGACAATATATTGTCACGAATCACATACTCCGTATGCTCGTATTTCATCGATAACTCAGTAACTCACAATATAGCCTTGTCAGTGTCTAACTGACCATAAGCATTGTCAGTTGTCACCTTGATCATTCAACTGGATTTTCGTATGAGATGTTTGCGTTGTAATAACACCTCTTTAAAGAACATGTAGCTTATTTTTTAAAAAAATCGTACATCGTTTTGATCTATTTACGAGCGCATATCATATCTACTTTTTTTTTATTTGAGACACAACTAAATGGTCGTGGACTCGTGGGCTTGTGGCTCATCAGATACCTCCTTTCTTTAATAAATAACACCATTGACTTTTTATCACACGTTTGACTATTTGACTTATTAAAAAAATTATCTAATTTTAACTTATTTTGTTGTGAGTTGTTTTATCACTCAAAATACTTCCAACATGATTTATATCTTACACATTTTGTATAATTGTTTTAAATAAGATGAATGATTAAACATATTTTTAAAAGTCAACGGCGTCATCTATTTAAAAAATAAAGGGAGTAATTGGTGCCCACTAATAATTATTACAAACTACTTCTCCGTCAAAAAAATCCTAAATATGTATATGGACAACATTTATATCCAGATACATCTCAATTGGACTTTTTTTTTAACTGTGGGAGTAAAACTTAAGATACAAATACGACGCATTATCATCCACTAACAATTACTCATGCAAGCATAACTAATCATCTAAAATATGATATTGTAAAGCTCAATATACAAGTATATCAAATCATATTCCTCACATTGTTTTCATAAATACTCCAACATTCATTATTTCTATAGTATGCAACATATATCATATCTTACTATAAAGTTATCCCCCACTAATTTATTAAGCTTAACATGCAAAGATGCTACATCATCATCCACTAAACAAGATGTCACATCATCATCCACTAATTAACAATATGTCACATCATCATCCACTAACAATTATCACATTTAAACATCATGCAAACATGCTATATATTTATAGTTTTTATAATTTAAGAGCTTTTTAAATACAAACATGTTAAATTATCATCCAACATAATTCATATAATGTTTCAATGTATATATTTATTATGTTTTATGATATCCTATATATTTATATAGTTCATCCTCACTTAGTTAGTGCTTAAATGATTAAACTATGGTCCAAATTATCTTTCTCCTTTTTTCCTCTAATTAATTTATATCACATCAATTGTTTTTAGCATTTAGATTATTAATCTACGGTCCAAACTATCTCCCTTCTTTTCTTCTTCTATAAAGTCATACCACCTTACTTTTTACGTTTGAATCACCATTCTACATACTATTTAAATTTAAATTATCATAAACCACATTAATTTACTTAATCTGTTGTTATCCAGCTATCTTACACGTTATTTTTTATTTCTATCATAATAAATTCCCACAGCAATACGTGGGGTTTCACCTAGTTTACTCATACAATTTGTAACAAAACGTGGGTATCACCTAGTAATGCTCGTTGGCTAAAACTCCAATATTAGAGGGTGTGGATAGTGATTGAGTGGGATTTAGGTCCTCTCACTACCGCAATAAATGCTAGTGCAATCTTTCGTAGCTACAACACTCGCTATTGGATTTTGAGGCAAATTTCACTTGGTGCTCTTGCCATATCAATTGATATGATGCATACATCACAAATCCTAGGTGTATAGTGTCTCTAATGGTGTTACGGCAGAGGATCTCATTTCACTTCGATAGATCTCCGCCTCCTATTAAGTAGTTCTTCTATTAATGTCATCGCTAATATAATGTTCTAAGTGGCTCCTTTGACAAGCAATGTCGTTTTATCCTTTACATATAACCGATGGTAAAATAATTTCAAATTTAATCAAATTTTTACAGCAGAAATAGACAATTAGGAAGTCATTTGAGCTTGTCTTTAAGTCAAACTTCTCTAAACTTAACTAAGTAAATAGACGCAACAACATCTACAATATATGTTCTACAATATACTTATTTTGTTTTGAAAATGTTACTAAGTTTTTATTTAATTTAATCAAATTAAAAAAATGACTTGGAGTAACAAAATGAGCATTTCCAACACAAAAGTAGTACTAGTTCAGAAATACTAGAACGTACCAGGGGCAAACTCCAAAACCTCCCATCCGATCACCTCCGTCCCGAACGTTATCTCTAACCCCTTCGTTTCCCACCCACCACCTCTCTCCGGCGTGCTCGCTCGCACACAGTCCCCAATGGCCTCCCGGAACGCCGACCCGCCGCGTCACCACCCCTCGACGCCGCCTCTCCTCCTCGCCATGCGCCACCTCCCCTTCCCGGGCGTCCACCGGCCGCGCGCGCTCCCCGCCCCGGACCTCGCGCCCCTCGCCGCCCGCCTCGAAGAGCTCGCTGCCGCCGCGGCCGCGCACCCGCTCCTGAAGCCGCTCTTCGCCTTCCACTCCCACCTCGCCGCCTTCTCCCAGGTAGGTCGACGCCCGCGGCCTCCTTGAGCTCGATCACACGAACAGACGTGTATGTGCGAGGGTTGCTCACGACGCGCGGTTGTTGGTGGAATGAGCAGAGCAGGAGGCGGGCGATGGCGACGATGCGCCGGCGGCGGACGACGGGCGAGTGCCCGCTGTCCGGCGAGCACTGCTTCGCGGCGGTGCTGGGTGACTCCGTGGCCGGTGTGGTGGTGTCCAGCGGCATCAACAACTTCCTCAGCCTGTACAACACCGTCCTCGTCGTCAGGCTCGTGCTCACCTGGTTCCCCAACACGCCGCCCGCCATCGTCGCGCCCCTCAGGTACATAGTACTCGTATGTATGTATACAGTAGCTACGCACACGGCGCAACGTAGCACTTTAGTGACAGTGTTTATGGAGCCAACAATTAGCCTGGTCTAATTCAGAAAAGAAACTCAAAAACATTCTCCCTCCGTTCATAATATAGACATATAGTGCATATTTTCGTAGTCTAATTTTAAGCTTAGACAAATCATTCAATCCAATAAAAATGATAATTCTGAATTCATATCGAAGGTACTTTCTTATTTTGTAACTGCAATCAAAATAGTGCAAAAAAAAAAGTGCATTGACACATCTGACTTTGTGCAGCACGATATGTGATCCGTATCTGAACATTTTCCGGGGAATCATCCCGCCGCTGGGGGGAACGCTCGACCTGTCGCCCATCCTCGCGTTCCTGGTCCTCAACGCCTTGTCCAGCACCGCCGCCGCGCTCCCGGCCGAGCTCCCGGACCCAGCACCGCCGACGTCTCGCGGCGCAACCTCGTCAAGCTCCGTGCTCACCGCAAACCGGAGGAAATGGATGCGGAGAATCCGCCCGGTAAAATCGCAGGAAGGAGAGGAGGAAATGTGATGCTCTATCTAGGTGGGACTTCGTTTGAACCAGTTTGGACAGATGGAATCGCTGTCTCACTGACATGGTGGCCATCAGACTAAGAGTCTGGGCATGTTCAGACGCGAACGATCATCAATTAAGCAGGCGGAATTGTTTTGGTTGTGTTGCTTCAGAAGATTTTTGCTTGTACGCTGTAGAATCCATCCCATTGAGGCTTCGTGTTTTCTGCATGTATGCAGAGGAACAACCTGCTTGACTAGTTTGACATGTTCCAGTCTTTTGGATGAGTTTGTTACTTTGTTGATGAATCGCATGCTCACTGTTTATACTACATCACAGCAGTACACGAAGCATTTTTATTCTGTATGCATCCAGTGAATTTGATTTTGGAGTTGTTATTAGGCTATTAACATCGTACATCACACTTCAAGCGTGCCCCTCCCCCCCAAAATTCTTTTCTTGTATTTTTAAGGGTCATGGGTTTTCTGCAAAGCTGAATCAAACCAGTCGACCATATGTATCTAATGCTCGTTTGAAGGGGAACCTTGAGATCCAAGCAAGAAGTCCAACACGATCTTGTTGAACCGATCCGGGTCCTCCATTTGAGGCACGTGGCCTGTCTTCTTGATGATCTCCAATCTAACATGATCTCCCAAGCAGCTGCAACCGTCATAAGCACAAGGAAAAAGGTTAATCTGCAGTTGCAAATTTTGTATTGCTGTGAATTATTTTACCTCTTGACAGCAAATGCCTTATCCAAGGGGAATATCTGATCATGGTCTCCCCAGATAAGCAATACATCCTGAGCCAATGGTGTAAGCTGGAATGCATCCGTGCCCACAGTTGTAGCATTCATAAGCTCGATCTTCTCTTCCCTCTTGTCCGAAAAAAGTTTCTGCAAATTGCTGAAATGCAACATTAGTGTGTTTGCTAGCATAACAGTGCACCCAAGCTATGAAAGAAACTTGTGCTCTGCACAATGTTCAAAATATAAACATGAGAACACGAGGAATTCGCTGGAATTTTGAGTGATTTATATGGATCCTTCGTCACCTTCATGATGTCTCGGATCACGAAGTCCGGTAGCATGGCGCCGGCCTGCTTCCGGTAGAAGGTCAGCTCCATGAGCCGGCGAGCTCCGCGCGCGTCCAGCGGCATGAGCACGTCGGCCGGGTGCGTCCACCCGCTGCCGGCGCGCTCGAGGAACGCGCCGTCGTCCTCCGCCGTCTTGAGCAAATCGGAGTTGGATATCGCCACGGGGCCGACCCTCTCGGGCCCCGCCTTGCGCGCCATGGCGTAGGCCACGAACCCGCCGTAGCTGGTGCCGGCCACGGCGACGCGCGCCGCCGTCCCCACGAGCGCCGGGAGCGCGTCGAGCAGCGCGGCGGCCTGCGCCGACTCGGACGGCGGCGGGGAGGAGGAGGAGGAGGAGGCGCCGAAGCAGAGGAGGTCCGGGACGATGATGTGGAAGCGGCGGGAGAAGGGGCCCACCTGGCGCCGCCACTGCCACGTCGCCATGGGGCCAAAGCCGTGGATGAGGAGGAGCGGCGGGAGGCGCGGCTCCCCCGGCGGCGCCCAGTAGTGGATGGTCCGGGCCTCACCGTCGCCGGAGGTGGAGGGGAGCGTGACGGTGCTGGGGCGGAGGCCGGCGGCGAGGAAGGCGCGGCGGGCGATGTACTCCATCAGCGGGATGACGCCGAAGCCCATGGTGACTTACGTGGACGTGATCAAGTGATCGAGACGGGGCTCTAGTAGAGAAATTGGATAGTAGCAGGTAGTACTAGCTTGGCATACGCTGATACGCAACGCCGCCACGGTGAGATGCATACAGAGGAGAAGGAAGAGCGGTGGGGTGTAAATGTAATGACGTATACCACCCTAACCAGCTCTATAGCTGCTTCTATAGAGGGCTGTATACATAGGGAGTGGATTTTAATCCTGGGTGGGACGTCCCCTCGTATATTTTTCTTCTAAATTTGATACAAATAATTATAAAAAAAGCCTATAAAAATTAAATGTAGAGTATAGTTATATCTATTGGTTCATAAAAAATTAAGTTCAAATTCGATCTACACACCAAGAAACTAAAAAGACATATTCAAATGTGAACAATATATGGTACTATTCATATGTTAAATTTGTTTTTTTAATCTCGTTGTGTGAGTTGAGTTTTGATCTAAGATTTTGTGGAGTTGAATAGAGTGTTGTATAAGTATTGTTAAATTTTTCTAGATTTTTTCATAACTATTTGGATTTTTTTTTTGATTTTTTTAAGTAAACGAGGGATATTCCCTCGAGGGTTCCCCTATATATGCTTATTTGATTGATGTTCACCAGAACTTTTGGTGATGTGATAAATTTAGTCATTGTTTGGTTTGCTATTAGAATCTTGAGGGTGCCAATCTATTTGAAGATAGGATTTTTGGTAAGCATGTTGATATTTAAAATCTTCACATCAAACAATAATCCTACCTACTCTTTCAAAGTTTTGATTTAATTCAGCAACAGATACAAACGAGATGCACCAACATTACCAAAACTTCACAGAATTTAGCTTACTGATATTATGGTAAGCTAACCAACATTTGCCCTGACTCTCCATTGACTCCATTCAATGCTTTAGATGGCTAAGAAAACAAATCAACAATCCACCCATTTTCTTTAATTATTTCTCAATGTGCGTTCTCAAATAATTCGTAGTACAAATTTTAGCTATGAATGGACGAAGGTGGCTAACCATCTTATTTCAATCAATCAAATATTCGAGTGGGCATCCGACTTATTGCGATGCGCCATTTGACGAAGGATCAGGCTTGTGAGTAGCCAGCAAGAAGTCTAGCAGGATCTTGTTGAACCGGGTTGGATCCTCCAGCTGTGGAGCATGGCCTGTTTTGCTTATGATTTCCACTCTAGCTTTCCCATCCAAAGAACTGGACAGAGCGAATTTTGTGCAGGAAACGTCAATCCGTGTTCAGTTAAATACTGAAATGGAAGCTTCGTACTAGTATGTTACTATCCATTACCTCTGAACTGCATAAGCCTTCTCAACCGGGAACAACTGATCTTGCTCTCCCCAGACAATCAACACTTCCTACAATGCCAATGAAACATGAAAGGTTTCAGCTACGGTAAGTGTCAGTGAATTCACTGGTTGAAATACTGTAATAAGTCTGTCACTTACCTGAGATATTGGAGTTACTGGGAACTTGTCTGTGCCAACTGTGATCCCCTTGAAGAGTTGAATAAGTTGCTCTCTGTTCTCCGTGAAAAGTTTCTGATATAGTAGAAGATAACAAAACCATCTATTTCAGAGGACAGTGGCGTTTGGCTACTTCTGTGAGTAATCTGAAGTTCTGAATGATATACTACCAATCTCAACAAACATGAGCTGTGTAAACTGTAGCACCCGCTAAAAGTAGTTGGGTATTATTGCAGTGTGCATGGCTTTGCCTCTTGCAAATGGATGCTAGATTCATTACTTAGCTGTGAGTTGTCGTCATTTGTTTAGATGCCAGTGCAAGTTCAAAACCAACATTTTTTTTACGAGAACCGAATATATTACTGTGACGATCCAGCCAAATCGCTGGTCACCAGACGTTCCAGGCCCAGGCGGAATATCGGCCCAGCTGGAAATGTTTTGGAGATTGCATCCCATGGCTGCCAATTCATGCGGCACCTTGTTACATTCCCGAGGACAGAAATTAACCGAAAAAGAGAGAAAACAACTGGAAATTACATTTTTGGCTTACTACTGAGAACAGAAAAAAAAAGCAACTGCGTATTTCGATCAACAGTTGCATATTTTGATTCATGCATTTCAACCGTCAGATGGAAATGACAGGATATATAATCTTCTACTATGCTTATTTGGTACTCCCTCCATCTCATAATATAATAAGTTTTAGAGTTGAGCGTGGTTATATTAAGAAAGTAGATAGAAGTAAGTGGTGGAGGGTTGTGATTGGATGAGTAGTGGAGGTAGGTGGGAAAAGTAAATGGTGGAGGGTTGTGATTGGTTAAGAAGAGAATGTTGGTGTAAAAGTTATTATATTTTGGGACGGAGGGAGTACTACTAAGAGCAAGGTCAATAGTATAGCCAACTATTAGCTCCAAAACATCTATAGCCAATCTAATAGATCATTCATACAATAGTTAAATATAAAAATATACTACACCATTAATATCTGGTCCCATCTCTCATACACACATAACATTTTGGAGTCTGTGTTGCAGCCGGCTACAAATCTGTAGCCCGCTTTCTTCTCTCTCTTCACTTTTCTTCTCGATATATGGTTATAGCTGGCTTATAGCCTGCTATTGTACCTGCTCTAAGAGCAAGTTTAATAGTATAGCCCACTACTAGCTCCATATCATTTATAACTAATGTAATAGCCAATTCATACAATAGTTGCTTACTATACTATTAATACCTGGTCCCACCTGTCATACACACATTACGTCTTGGAGTCCGTGCTGCAGCTGGCTACAGATTTGTAGCCCACTGTTCTTCTCTCTCTTACTTTATCTCTTTAAAATATTATTATAGCTGGCTTATAGCCTGCTATTGTACCTGCTCTAAATGGTAGGAGTAATTTACATGGTTGTTTTCAACATGATTTTAGTAAGATTATAGATATATTGTTGGTTTATGTCTCTTTGAATATGTGTTGGACGAGTGTGATTTTGTGCGTGTAATGTTATGCGTTCTTGTTCATCCGGCGTTTAATTAAATTAAAAAAAAAACATGTTTGCTCTCCACTGTCAGTCTTCACAGTTCAGAGCGTATATAAAAATGCGAGCAGCAGTTCCACGGATCGAACAGGAACATGATGCCCTTCTTATACTTTTTTTTTAAAAGAAATCCAACTTTATGCTACGTACGAGCGATTCGAGACGGCCTAGTTTTTGAATTGTCAGCGCGAGAAGTAGTGGGAGTGGTTTCAGTTTTGACCTGGATGAAGTCGCGGAGGATGAAGTCCGGCATCAGCACCGGCGGCGGCGGCCGGCACGAGGCCATCTCCAGCAGCTTCCGCATCGCGGCGGGCTCGGCCGGCAGGAGCACCTCCTCCACGCCGCTCCACCCGTCGCCGGCCCTCTTCAGGAACCCCCGGTCGTCCGCCGCCGTCTTGAGCAGGTCGGAGCTCGCGATCACCACGGGGCCAACCCTCCCGGCCCCCGCCGTGCGCGCCAGCCAGTACGCCACGAACCCGCCGTAGCTGGTCCCCGCCACCGCCACCCGCCTCCCCTTCATCCCCGGCAGCGCGTCCAGCAGCGCCGCCAGCGCCGCCGCCTGCGTAGCCTCCGACGGCGGCGAGGCGGCGGAGTCGCCGCCGAACGAGCTGCCGCCGAAGCCGATGAGGTCGGGCACGATGAGGTGGAAATGCCGGGACAGTGGGCCCACCTGGCAGCGCCACTGCCAGGTGGCCCGTGGGCCGAACCCATGCACGAGCAGCAGCGGCGGCAGCAGCGGCTCCCCCGTGGAGGCCCAGTAGTGGACGGTGCAGGTCGCCTCGCCGCCGTCGCCCGGGTACGGCAGCGTGACGGCGCCGGGGCTGAGGCCGGCGGCGGCGAACTCCCGGCGCGCGAAGTAGTCGAGGAGCGGCACGAGGCTCAGGCTGGCGCCCATGGTGGTGATGGTCTTCTCCCTCCACTGAGCTCTCGCAGTCTCGCTCACGCAGCAGCAGCGCGCCTCGTGTGATAACGTCTGGTCGAGGAAAAAACGTAAGGCTCACACTTAACACTGGTGGTTGGGCGTGTACCAAACTTAATCGCGAGTTAAGGAAAGGAAAATTCCGGTTCGTTAGTTGGTGGTGGGCTTCTTTGAATGGGAGGCGATGTTATTGACGGGGTTAAGGAGAGCCGTCCGTTTGGTGAGGGCGGGCTCCATGATGCTGACACGTGTATATCGCCAGTGGTGCATTGTACTAGTACTCCGCTAGTGGAGGTGAGAGAGTAGCGGCCAAGGGAAGAGATTGCCGCACTGGCCTTCTCAACAAAAGGAGAAAGATAGTCGTCAAGTGAAGGACAGCATGAGATTGCCATCTGAGCTGCACTGTGCTAAATAATACCAAGTGGGCAGTAGCAAGCAGCAACAGATTAATTACTTTATCGACCTGTCAAGAACATATGCATCTGACGATCTCAGAATGATCACAACAATAAATTAGCCACTTTAGTGGTACTGCCATCTGCCTGCAGTTCCATAGTCAAGAGGAAAAAACAGAGTCCGTGAGCATCACATTTTTTTATTGGGAGATTTCATATTTGACAATTAATCAATAGTTCACGGTATATATTTTTTACATCCCAAATAGGGTCATTACACTATCGGCATCTGAGGATAGAGGGCAAATCCGGGTTACAGTTGGATTGGTTTGGGCCTTTCCGAGAGCTCCTGCTTCTAGTACTTCTTAGCAGGGCTCTAGTACTGGGCCACTCCCAACTTCCGGCCCATTTCACGAGTCCAGGAGGAAAGACTTGATGAAGCGGTTCACTTGGTCGGCTCCCTCCAACTGCAACGCGTGCCCTGCGTCCTTGATGATCTCTAGCCGTGACACGTCTCCCAGATGCCTGCAGCCACAGCCATGCGAAGGCACAGTGATCACTGCTTTTTTTTGCAATCAAGCGTCCATCAATTCTGCATTAATGCGGTATACCGAAGTGGTGAAATTAGGTACTTGATGTCCAATTTTACCTTTGCAGTCTGTGGCCGAGATCCAACGGGAACACCTGGTCCTTGTCACCCCACAGAATCAACGTTTTCTGTGGTGCACACCAAAACTTATTTAGGCTGAGTTTGAGTGGGAGGAGATTGAGAAGATTGAGAAGATACGCAAAACGAGGTGAGCTATTAGAGCATGATTAGTTGAGTATTAATTATTTTAAATTTTAAAAATGGATTAATATGATTTTTTAAAGCAACTTTCGTATAGAAACTTTTTGCAAAAAACACACCGTTTAGTAGTTCGGGAAACGTGAGCGCGGGAAACGAGACAAACTCACTCACAATCTCCTCCTGCCGAAAGCTCCCTTAGTTGCTTACAAACAATAAAATTAAATAAAGGGTCCAAGGGAAGATATCGATCGGGCAACAGTACAGAAGAAGAGAGAGAAAGTACAGTGTAGACACGCATATGACAGAATGAAGTAATGAACAGCATTACAGCAACAGTACGGGATGATGACGCTTTCTGTGTGGACTCCGTTTGAGATTGATGACTAGACAAACGATCATGGGATATCGATCGATCAGATCACCTTTTTTTTTTTGGCCCGGCAATCAGATCATTTGCATTAGAGTATTTATTTTCTTTTGTTGAGTGCTGTGAAAGCATGGCATATGAGATGCACTTAAAGTACAGTGATAAGATGGGTGTGATTTTAACCCTAAAATCCTGTGTTCAATTTTCAATGTGGTGGGACGTTTCTTTCTCTAAATCTCGTTTTTAAAAACATGATATATGTATGCTATTTTTTGAAAAAAAAATTATCCGGCCTCTATAACCATATTGGCGTATGTATGTATACACAGCCCATACACTGGAAATGTGGATGTGGCATACCTGAGTGAGAACGGGGAGGGGATCGATGCCAGCTCCGTTCTTGAGAAGCTCGTGTAGCAGCTCGGCCCTCTCCTTCCTCTGAACCACGCACATCAACTGTGCAAAAAAAAAAAAAACAGAGTCAGTACAAAATTACATTCTGACATACTGAAATGCCATATATCTCCCCGTTTAGAATCGAGTCCAGTTCGAACTGCATATGTCCTGAACTCCTGATCAAATGCTCATCGTTAAGGGAGGGAAGCACACGTGAGTCCCCTATACTTTTTTTAATGCAATCAGTACGAGATTGTACTATTTTATTAAATATAGCGGTAGAAAAATACAACCTCTAAAGAAAGAAAGAAAAAAAAAACTATACAGACTATACGTGTGGAGAAAGAAACTCGCTATTTTTTTTTGCTTCAGCGAGAACCCAAGTTCGTGCTTCTTCCTTCATTTTAGCCAACAGCCTAGGAACCACTCTTTATATTTGAAGATACGCTGATTTCTCTCCTTCCAAATCTCCCAAACAACAAAAAGGAGTAGAGTACGCATTGATCTGCTGATTGGCGACCAACTCGGAAAGGGGCACACGGCTGATAGAGGTGGGTGCACATGCAATTCATTGCTCGATCCAAGCGGCGTATCCCATGTAGGATCGAGTTCATCGCGAAGATCGTATCCCTCCATACCGAGGGACATTCTATCGTCCGTGCTAGTTGCTGATATGTCCCCTGCATATGCTCTGCTCTTGGAGTTACTATGTGCTACTGTACTTTGCCGTTGTATACATTCAGTGCGTGCACCAGCTGGCGTACGCGCGCGGTCGAGAGCTGGTCGTTCTTCGCTTCCCCCACCCCCGACGTTATTACGCACGGCGGCGCACGGCATGGCGTCTTCATCTTATACCCTTTGACTTGGTCGGATCCACGTCAATGGTGTCCATACATGGGGTTTTGTTTGTTCTGTTTTGCAAAGTTAAAATGAGGCAAAGCTTTTTCCCTCCATTGAAAAATCAAAGAAAGTTACGAGAAATGTGAGATCTTGTGCTACAAGTTCGTGTAGTGCAGATTGGTGCTGTCGTGTTGCAAGCTTGCAATAAGAAAAGGTTACGCTTTCACCGTCCTAGACCAGCTCGAATCACACGCCAAAGTTCGAGGCCATACTTTAATTGGAGTGCTTGATCGGTGTTACATCCACCAAAAAAAAAACAAAAAAAAACAAAATACGAGTAAGTGGCAGCTAGTGGAGCAGCAACATTATTTTGGGGCTGGCCCTCGCCTAATTTTCGAGTCGATTTTGCTAGATATTTGTCATCAAATTTCTCCCCCTAATATTTGTCAGATGTAATTACAGTACAATCGTAGTGTAATTACACTGTAACTTGCATGTAATTACACTGTAACTATAATGTAACTTGTATGTAACTTTCAAGAATCTCTCGGTAACATGTTATTTCAGTAAAATAGAGGTCGTGGGAACAAATTCTTTCATATATGTGTGTGATGTGATTTTTTTCTTCCTCCATAGAACAAATCTTGTAATAGATCTAACGATTCAAAATTACGTGAAACTTACATACAAGTTACACTGTAGTTACATGCAAGTTACAGTGTAATTACATACAAGTTATATTGTAATTACACTACGATTATACTATAATTACATCTGTCAAATTTTTAGTAGAAAATTTGTCGACAAATGTATAGGTGGTCCCTTTTCGAGTAGTATTCCTGAAGACGACACGTGGGCCACGTAAGGGCCCAGCGCCCATGACAGAATCCACGAGATTTGACGTAACGTACGGCATCACCGCCACGTCAGTCCAGATCTACCGGAGCACTTTACCTTTACGTGCCCGTGCCACTCTCCTCCAGCACTACACGTGTAGGAGTACTGAATTGCCGATCTATATTTTACTCTAGTATTTTTCAAATTTGCTACTAAATGCAAATCCAAATTAATCTCTGGTGGTGCCGTATGGTGCTGTACGATCTGATTCTGGAATTGCTCACATGCAAAGGATAGCGTGTTCTACTCTGGCTTAATTTGGATGTGTCCACCTGACCATGCAATTTATATGGCACTGTTATCAATTGTTCTCGCTTAATTCCTGCTACCATGTTTGGCCTAACTTTATATTCAAACTCGTGGAGATCTCAATTAGGCTTATACTTAAAAGTCAAACGCATATGTATATACAGTACGATCTAAACGAACACTCCAGTCTAAGCTGGAGTTTCGTATATAAACTCTACTAACCTCGCTCGACCGGCAAGATTGCTCAAAAACCGATCAATGTACATGTTTTTCGTGAGAAAGAAACTTAGGGGGTTCTGCATCACAATCCGGCACGTGCACAACACATGCATATACGCCACCGTACAAAGAGTGCAAGTTCCCCGTACTGTTTTTGTACCAATTAACGAGGTTTTCCTTAAGAGGCTTGTTCCATTCTATCAGTAAGTGGAAATGTTGCATGTGAATCTTGCAGGAACAATTAAATTGCTCCCCAATTTTAAATATACGTCACTGGTGATTTTTAAAAACAAGATGTTTGCCTGTTTCGGATTATTAAAATGGATTTAGTACAAATATAAAAATACAAGTCAGATTTTAAGTATCTTCATATCAATGCAACATACTCCCTCTGTCCCATAAAAACGAATCTAGAATCGGATGTGACATATTCTAGTACTACGAATCTAAACAAATGTATGTCCCATTCATAGTAGGGGCATCTGCAAATTTGCCACCGGTTTTTTCAATTTTGCAAGAATACCACCCGAATGATAGTTTTAGTGATATTTTTGTAATTTTCTAGTGACAGTCTTACAATAACAATTATGTTATATATGGTACTAGATTAGTTTTTTATGAGACGGAGGGAGTAAATAATACTTGTATAATTTTATTAAATAAGATAAATGATCGGACACCATTTCTAAAAGTTAACTTATATATTTAAAACCCGATGACGATACTATATACAACATCACGAAGTTAAATTTGTCCCACATGATTTTTATTCATTTTCTTATCTTGATGTTTGAGATAGACTAAAATATAAGATAAAATTAGTGCATGCAAAATGAAGCACATGTAAGTTTTAATTATTACAAACATAAAAATAACTTCTATTTGCTAATATTTAAAGGCAGCTTCTATATGAAAAGTTATTTTAAGAAAATAGCGTTTGCTAGTTTAAAAAAACGTGCTAATTATCTGACGCTAATTTCTAGCTAAAAAACGTGCTAATGAAAACCTTGGTAAATACACATATTAATAAAAAGAAAAGAACGGGGCCTGTAATTAAGACAAGGCTTTAGTAGTGAAAGTTAATCGTGCCAGTTAATTATTTGAAAACGGCAAGATGTACTCTTGCCTTGCACAGGCTAGTCATTATTGGATGGATTAGCGAGTGTGGTAGTAGGTGCTGGAATGTGCTGAGCTGAAGCAAAGCACGTGCATGCTGAGCTAGCGCGCATAGCACAGCATCTGCTCGATCCATGGGAGTAGCAAACAAAACTGCGCCTAAAAAACCAAGCAAACACACAAGACGACACGGGCCATCGATCGGACAGAGGCAAGGCACTGACCTTGATGAAATCGTCGAGCACGAAGTCGGGCATCCATGGCGGCGGGCGGTGCATGGACCGGCGGACGAGGCGGCGCAGCCCGTCGGCGGTCTCCGGGAGCAGCGACTCCTCGACGGCCCTCTCCTCCCGCGCCGCCATCTCCCTCATCTCCCCCGGCGTCGCCGCCACGCCGCTGGTCATCACCACCACCCTCGGCACCCGGTCCCTGCCCTCCACGGCGGCCAGCCGGTACGCCACGAACCCGCCGTAGCTGATCCCGACCACGTCGTAGCGGTCGACGCCGAGGAGCCGCATGGCCTCGGCGGCGCACCGGGCCTGGAACGCGACGGTGCGGAGCGGCGAGGCGGATCGGGAGTGCGCGCCGAAGAAGAGGAGGTCGGGCGCGTAGACGTGGAAGTGGCGCGACAGCGCCGGGAGGTTGCGCGCCCACGTCCACTTGGAGTCACCGCCGAAGCCGTGGAGGAGGAGCAGCGGCGGCTTGGCGGACGGCGCCGCGGGGCACCAGACGCGGACCGTGGTGGCGTCGGTGCCCGGGAGGCGGAGGTGGACGGGGCGGATGCGGAGGCGGGCGAGGAAGTGGAGGGACAGCGCGGCGTCGCGGAAGGCGGCGAGGCGGAGCCGCACGAGGAGGACGAGCAGCCGGAAGAGCAGCAGCGACAGCGGGAGCAGCGCGAAGAGCGCCGAGGCGGTGGCGGTGGCATGCCGCTGCTTCATGGCGCGGACACGCGGTGCACTGTGCGTGCACACGACGAGCAGAGGCCGAGAGGGGTGTGGGTGTCGAGGGGCAGAGAGGATGATGGCCTGCCGTTGCTATTAATAGCGGGCTCCTTGGCTTCACAGAAAAATGGCTATGGATCGATGGATCAATTAGCTCGACCGCGGAGTATATACAATTAAAGAATTGGCTTTGATTCTGTTGGAACTTGGACAGTTGGAGTGTTGGGATAATTCAAAACTCCCTTTTGCAGTAGTTTCCAGAAAATAAAACTCTCTGTTGCAGTAGTTCCATTAATCATGTACTCTCTTGCTCCAAATGATCTATGTGGTGCCTTCTCTGTCTCAGCTAACTACATCTGGAGGGCGATAACATATTAGCATACATGGTTAATTTCATCGTGCGACATGCTTCGTGCATGCCTTGAGCTGCTATGTCAATTACCTCTTCAAATCTGTGTGTACTCTGCACTGGCATCAGAGCCATCAAGTGCAAGGGACCATGCAGGTACAGCGGCGACACCCAGACAGGGACTCAACGAACGGTGAGGAGCACTAGATCATTCGTTTTTGATCCGATAATTGGCAGGAAACTGGTGACAGGCTGACAGCGCTCTGCATTCTCAAAATAATGATGTCAAATTGGTCTCGATCGTTTTGATTTGTTTACCCTGCTTGTTTTGTTAGCGCTTCATGGCCTGCTTTTTCTCTAATATGTCAAAACGATTTATTAGAAAATAAAAATATATTTATAGGTAAAACTTTTATATATGTATTCTTACTGACTTAAAAACTAATGTAAAAAAACTATGCTGAAAAAAAAATCTCAAAATTAAGTTTAAAAATTTTAAATATAACTTTTTCTTTGGGTTAGGCCATCGGATGGGAGCATCCAATGCTCTTGCCTCCGTCAGACAAAGACCACGGAATGGTATGGTCGTCTGTGCGTACGCCAAACAGAGTCACTGTCTATTATTCACGTTTTTTTTTAAATATTGTCTAGTGTTTGGTTCTGACTTCTGAGAGGTGCTCATGAAAAGAATCAAGGCTGTAAACGATTCTAGACTTGAGGTGTTTATAACAAAAAAAAAAAGGCAATATTATACTCCCTCTGTTTCACAATAAAAGTCATTCTAGCATTTTTCACATTTATATTGATGTTAATGAATATATATATATATATATATATATATATGAATGTATTCATTAGCATCAATATAAATGTGAGAAATGTTAGAATGATTTACATTGTGAAACGGAGGAAGTAGTACCGAAGAAAATCAAGGCACTCGTTCAACAGAAAAAAAAACATCAAACGTTGGAGGGAAGAAGACATTGAGATATAAAAAGGTTCAGATTAGAGCTATGGCATATGCTGTCCTTGCTGGTGGAAATTCGGCTGAGAGCCGCGCAGCCAAGGCCCATGGGCCATGGACAACAGGCCACGATATTGGCCCATCTGTCACGCGCGAATCATAATGGGCTTTATCCGCACGAATCCTAGAGCCTTGTCGTTGGCAGAACAGCGCACATTATTCGGCGGGCATCGCCATACAAGTCTTATACTCCATGTAAATTTGATCCTAAATAAACCATTCTAATCCATGAAATTGATCGTATGGAGATTTAGAATTCAAGTTTCCTGTTTCAATGAACCATAAAAGGTTCCATTAACGATGAAATCACTCCACAATCCAATACAATGCAACTGTGCAAGTGCTTCTAATGTCTTCTTTTGAAGGTTAAGAGTCATCATCCCTGATCTTTCATGGTCCAAATCTAACAGTGGACTTCCTGTGAAGTTGTGAACCACATTGTCACCAGCAATACTTAGTGTGGGGCAAGCAATACTTAAATTCATCAACACCAAGTTTCCAGCACTGCCATTTTTTTCGTGGACGCGCAAAAGTTTCCAGCACCGCCATCACCCAGTTTACTCAACAAATCATAATGACTTGGATCATGAACCATGATTTCGTCAAAACTAGCCACGCTGTTAGAGTTTGTGTCGAATGTGTACGTAGTTGGTTACAGTTTAGGACTTGGAGTTGTAATAGGTATGAGTCGGACTCTATCCTAGGTTCACTCATAAATAGAGGGGCATGCCTGTTGCAACCGCATGGCGACTTAGCATAGCGAGAGGGAGCGGCTGCCGGCATCGACCGGCCGTGAGTCGTTGTAACTCTGATACGCTGTATATGCTGGATCGGGGAGGAGCGCCCGTAATCAGTGCCCCGGAGATGTAGGCTACGGCTGAACTCCGTTACCAAATATCGTGTCTCGGTGTCGTCATTGTTTTGGATCTCCTATGGCGTTTTCTTCCGCGTTTAGCTACCGATGTCGATTTCGGGGTTGGTTTTTATAACAAGTGGTATCAGAGCCTGCGGGAGGTCCATGGTAGAGGCGCGATGGAGGTGCTCCACACTGCGTAGCCTGCTGTAATGCCCAGGGAGGGGCATTGGCGCAAGGTGGAGCACGGCGGCGATCAACGGAGTCTTGATCGGTGGATCGAACACTTCTGGCGGTGGCCGGAACCGTCGATGGCTGCTTTCAACAGGGAGATGACTAGACGTGGTGCTCAGGTTGATGGCGGTGGAAGCGATTGGCGATCCAATCGATGGGTCGGACACTTCGGGCGGGTGGCTCGGACTTTCCGGTGAGCTACTCTCGACAGGGAGGCGTGCGGCCACACGCTCGGGTTGATTGAAGCTGGAGGCGATCGGCGTTCTCGATCGGTGGATTTGAACACTCTGGGCAGGGTGGCCCGGGCCTTTCGATGAGTTGCGTTCGACGGGGAGATGGCTAGACGTAACGCTCGGGTCGTTCGGCGGCTGGGAAGACGGCATGTGACTTGTCGGCTTCGGCTCGCGACTAGATTGATGGCGTTTCAATCGGAAGTCGGAGCGGGTGGATCCTATAGGCTGTTTTGGAGGTGTTGACGAGGTATTTGCACGATGGAATTGCTTCAAAGGCGGCGTATTTTGTGGCATATGGCTGAACAAAGCCTAGGGCGAATAGAGCAGCATCTAGTAGCGGTTCAATCCTGGAGAGGTTTTGGTTCAACCTGTTTTTCCCTCTAGCAGACAAGAAGTAAACCACATGGGCTGTAGATCAATGACAACAGTTGTTGGTGGAGTCGTCGGTGGTGCTTGGCATTGGTGCTAGATGTTGTCAGAGATACGAAGAAGCCCAGGAGGTCAGGGTCGCGGCGGTGTGCGCGTCTTGCGTCGAAGCCGAGCAGGTGACGGAGATCAGGGCGATGCCGAGAAGGAGCTGGCTAGGGTTTTAGCTAGGTCGTGCAGGGTTCGGTCTTGAGGGTTTGTGGTGTGGAAGACACGGACATGGAGTCGTCTCCGGTTCAGTCATGGCACGGACACAATCGAAGACAAGCAGTGGATACCAAGTTTCAACATGAAGGGGAATCGGATGAGGACTACGATTCGTTCATGAATCGGACTCGATTTTTCCCAAATAAAAGCAGCAGAGGACCACGGGATTGCAACAACGCAATCGAAACAAATCACCTAGCAGAGGGCGAGATTCGTACCCGATTTTCACAGAGGCGGAGGTGGTTTGGGCGGTGAGGTCACGGGCGGCTGGAGGCGCATCCTTGCAGGCGGTGCGTGGCGGCGTGGTACTCGGCGGCGTCCGTCGGAGCTCGAGCAGGAGCTTGCGGCGGCGGCTGCAGCGGTTCTCGGCGAGGAACCGGTGCAGGTCTTCAGCGGCGGCGCTCCAAGGCGGTGCGGCAGCCTCTTGCGGGGCCAGCGGCTCCCCAAGGTCCGGCGGCGCGACGGCTCCTCGCAGGTCGGCGCAGGCACTGGACGGCGGCGGGAGGCGGTGGTGGTGTGCGGCGGCGCAAGGCAGCGGTGTGCGGCGGCTTTGGCAACGAGGCGGCGGCGCATCGGATAGGGCGGCAGCACGTGCGGTTTCTGGGAGGAGCGAGAAAGGCCGAAGGAGGAAAGGGGATCGGCTCGATCTGTTTCCCTTTAACCGCACGTTTGACTGGTTTTTTTACTAGAAAAGAAAACCGACCGGTTTTTTTCTGGAGAAAAAAGAAAAAGGGGTTGGTTTTGTCCGGCTGGTGACTGTGCAAGTTTAGTCGGTGGGTCAATTAATCAGGGCAGATCAATTTAATAGGGCAACAGCTGTTGAGTTGATTATCGTCGATGGCGGTGACAGTTGTTTCCAAATTTGAGGTGGTGAAGTTCGATGGCATCGGGAATTTTGTTCTTTGGCAGATGAGGCTGAAGGATCTGTTGGCTCAACAGGGGATATCCAAGGCTCTTGAGGAGACGATGCCGGAAAAGATGGATGTTGGCAAGTGGGTGGAAATGAAGGCACAGGCAACTGCAATAATACGCTTGAGTCTCTCGGATTTTGTCATGTACCAGGTCATGGATGAAAAAACGCCGAAGGAAATTTGGGACAAGTTGGCAAGCCTGTATATGTCCAAGTCGCTGACGAGTAAGTTGTATCTCAAACAACAGCTGTATGGTTTGCAGATGCAAGAGGAGTCAGATCTTAGGAAGCACGTGGACGTCTTCAATCAGTTGGTTGTGGATCTAAGTAAGTTAGATGTGAAACTTGATGATGAAGACAAGGCCATAATTCTTCTGTGCTCGCTTCCACCATCGTTTGAACATGTGGTGACTACCTTGACGCACGGCAAGGATACTGTCAAAACTGAGGAGATAATTTCGTCGTTGCTTGCACGAGACTTGAGAAGATCAAAGAAAAACGAGGCAATGGAGGCTTCTCAAGCTGAGAGTTTGCTGGTCAAGGCAAAGCATGATCATGAAGCAGGGGTGTCGAAGAGCAAGGAGAAGGGGGCACGATGCTATAAGTGTCATGAGTTTGGACATATAAGGAGGAATTGCCCGTTACTGAAGAAGAGGAAAGGTGGCATTGCAAGTTTAGCAGCTCGTGGTGATAATTCAGATAGCAGCAGTCATGAGATTCTCACAGTGTCTAATGAGAAGTCTGGAGAAGCGTGGATGTTGGACTCAGCTAGTTCCTATCACGTGACATCGAAGTGGGAGTGGTTCTCTTCATACAAATCTGGTGATTTTGGTGTTGTTTACTTGGGCAATGACACGAGTTATCGTGTTATTGGAGTGGGCGATATCAAGTTCAAGATGTATGATGGAAACGAGGTGCTACTTTCAGATGTGAGACACGTGCCAGGACTAAGGAAGAGTTTGATTTCTCTTGGGAGCCTACATGAGACAGGTTGGTTGTATCAGGTGGATTCTGATAGGAAGACCATGAATATCATGAAGGACGGCAAGACTGTTATGACTGGTGAGAGGACAAGCTCATGTTTGTACAAGTTACAAGGAAGTGCTGTTGCAGGTGGAGTCATGGAAGATGGGCATGCTGGTGTTGCTGTGCACGATCCTGAAGGCGGCAAGCCTGGCGTAGGCTCGTCGGGCGGCTCGGCATGAGCTGTGGCAGAACCAACTCAAGTCCTGGTACACGGAGGTTCGAGCAAGTAACAAATTCAGGTTGGAGTGGCATATTCGCCAAGGTAGAGTTTGTTAGAGTTTGTGTCGAATATGTGTACGTAGTCGGTTACAGTTTAGGACTTGGAGTTGTAATAGGTATTAAAACTAGAGTATGAGTCGGACTCTATCCTAGATTCTCTCATAAATAGAGGGGCGTGCCTGTTGTAACCGCATGGCGACTTAGCATAGCGAGAGGGAGCGGCTGCCGGCATCGACCGGCCGTGAGTCGTTGTAACTCTGATACGCTGTATATGCTGGATCGGGGAGGAGCGCCCGTAATCAATGCCCCGGAGATGTAGGCTACGGCTGAACTACGTTACAAAATATCGTGTCTCGATGTCGTCATCGTTTTGGATCTCCTATGGCATTTTCTTCCGCGTTTAGCTACCGATGTCGATTTCGGGGCTGGTTTTATAACACACGCCTTGTTCCAAAAGTATCCGTAAACCATCCTATCCTATATCACGGCCCGGATTAGGAGCAGCTAGCGTCTTTGCAGGGTGGTTCTAAGTCCGAGTCATAGAGTATGTTTGCTTCTTCCCCATGGCGTCTTCTACCTTGAGTAAGAGATGACAACCGTAATTAGCACATGACAAGCAAGTCTAAGCTCTACACAACACTACTAGTTGCTCGGCTAGTAAGGTGCAGCCCGTCGTTGATGCCGGCTGCCACCAAGATCAGTGCGCCAGGGCCGCATGCTAATAGGTTGCGGAACAGGTTTAGAAATGGCCCGTGGAAGATCATTCACTTTCCAATCACGAAAAGAACCTGCAATTACAGTAGTACAATTAGTAGGAAACAAGAGCGATTTGATAATTTAACACTTCTCAAAATAGGATTCGATTATTTGATATACTAGTCCACTTTCATTCACTCAGATGGACCAAGCAGTACTCCTTCCTTTAAAAGCTTAATGATTAATTACCTGGACTTATCTTCAAATACTTTGACAGCGTACAAGGTCTGTATGGGTGGCAGGTCTTTCTTTCAGGACCATATAGTGCAAGCGCTTCCACTGTCTTCCTTTGAAGGTTAAGAGCCATCATCACTGATCTTCCACGGTCCAATTTGACAATGGAACTCATATGAACCACATTATCACCACCAATACTTAATGTGGGGGAATCAGTACTCAAATTCATCAATACCAGGTTTCCAGCACTGCCATCTCCTAATTCACTTAACATCTCATAGTGACTTGGATCAGGAACCATGATCTCATCATAACTAGCCTTGCAAACCTTATTCCAACAATTCCCATAAACCATCCTATCCCATATCACTGTCCTCCAACCAACAAAGCTTTTAAGCCAGATATCAGGATCAGGAGCATCTTCTTTGCAGGGTGGTTCTAAGTCCCAGTCATAGAGTATGTTTGCTTCTTCCCCAGGGCGTCTTCTACCTTGAGTAGGTTCTTGAGTGGGTTCAACAGTAGGTATCAAAAAGTGCTCCATCTCAATAAACTTGATCACTCCACCCATACAATGAACATCTCGAATCATATGCGGAGAATCATGGCAATAATTACCCGGCATGAGCTCTGGCAGACGGATGAAACGTACCACAGGGTGATCAGCAAGCACGTCGCAGATCAAAATGCCCTTCCAAAGATCTACCCATCCTAGCAGGCTTCCTCCAAGCTGGATCGTCTTGTGTGGTAAGGCTGGGTAATACTTACTATCAACCCTTTCAAGATTGCAAGAAGGGTCCAATGGCACTGATTTCATAGTCCACTGATCCGATGCCGAGGAATAAAGGTGGAGAGTAAACTCACGAATATTGCAAGAGGTGAACAGGAGAGCAGCCAGGAAGAATTGTCCATGGTCACCACACCGGATGATACCAATGTCCTCGCCGCGATTGTATCGTGGATCGTGGGTTGGGATCCGGCGAAGAGACGGCGACTCGGTGCCGGATCCGGCCTTGTACACGAAGTACTCCTTGTCAACCCTCCCGGAGAACATCCCCGAGAAGGCCATCGGCATGAGCAGCAGGAGCAGGTCCTCCGACTAGCAGGCGACGGAGGGCGCGGCGGTGAAATCGGCCGCCGTCAGGGTGGGGCTGTGCACGCACGAGATGGCCGGTGGGTTGTCGACGCAGAAGGAGACCTCGACGACGTCGCCGTGGCTCGTCGTGGCCGTCGCCGTCGTGGCATTTGTGCACTGCGCGTGGTGCACCTTATCCTCGAGGAGCATCCACGCGGGAGGCCGGAAGGCGGTGGCGAGGCGGGTTTGAATCATCATCGTGTAATGATCTAGGAACTAGGGTTTTGGAGTACCTCTCTAGGGAAGAGATCGAAGCAGCTATTCGATTTATGTACGGGATTTTTTTTTTTGGGATATGTACGGGAAAATTAATTTTCCGATCTTGAATTATTGATTGGGATTTGCTACGGGTGGCGCCACCCTTTTCTCCCTGGACCTATATCTACTGTGTGTGGATTTTAGTTTAAAAAACTCGGCCCATTCCTTGTGGATAAGGCCCATCCAACAGCATGTCTACTACCACGCGGCCCAAAAAGCGCTTGGTTGCTATTGGGCCCATGGGTCAGGGTGTGAGGCGGTTTCACCAGTCGCTAGCTCAAGCCTCTAAACCCTTCTTCTCCCCAGCTCACCCCGTTCGCCGCCGCCGACGCCGCTCGCCGGGGGCTATCGCCATGTCGCCGGCCGCCGCCTCACCGGATGATCGCATCCGGAGCTACGAGGATTTCGCGAGGGTGCACGCGTACCTGCTGGCCGCATCCGGGATCCCGCCGTCGCTGCACCAGCGGCTTTACCGCAAGCTCGCCGACGAGGTGTTCGACGGCGGGGAGGCCTTCTCGGTAGAGCCCTGCGAGGGAGGGAGGCAGCGGAGGCTCGTTCTCGCCGCTGAGTGGACTCTAGGGAGGGAGTCCGATGTCTTCCTCGTCGACCACGCCTGGTCCTTCCGCCTCTCCGATGCGCTTAAGCAGGTACTAATACTATCCCTGGGACCGTGGTTTACTTCTGTGGAATCAGTTGCGCTAGTTTGTTGGGAAGTGATTAGTGCGATTTTGGCGGCTTTTGTGCTGCCTAGCTGTATTATGGCCCATAACGTAGTGTATTACTGATGAATGGGAGCGCAATGACGACATTATAACGGACTTGTTGATTTAATTTGTTTACTCTTGTGACTTCAAGTAGGGTTTATGCTGTACTATTATGCCATTTACTTTTATGTTGGATACATGGAACGATTTTAGCATGGTCCTTGCTGATTGTTAATGTGTTATTACTGTGAATTGGAGTATTGACTAGTTAAGTGAGCGCAGCTACAGTTCGAACTAACTTAAGAGTGTCATAGTTTTTTTTTTTGGGTGCTGTTAACGTCTTGTACTTATTAGCTTTCTTATGCTGGTTAATAAGTGGTCGACACTGCAAAATCAGGGTCCGTTTTATTCTTTTCATGCTATCATCTGATAGCTATGTCGACTGACCAACAAATA